AAAAAAACTAAATAATCTCATTAAAAAGTGGGCAAAGAATCTGAATAGACATTTCTCAAAAGAAGACATACAAATGGCCAATAGGTATATGAAAAAAAATGCTCATCACTAACCATCAGAGAAATGCAAGTCAAAACTACAATGAGATATCATCTCACCCCCGTTAGAATGGCTATTATCAAAAAGACAAAAAATAACCAATGCTGATACAGACAAGGAAAAATGGGAACTCTTACACACTGTTGGTAGGAATGTAGATTGTGAAAGCCATTTTGGAAAACAGTATGGAGGTTTCTCAAAAAAACTAAAAATAGAACTACCATAAGATCTGGTGATCCTACTCTTGGGTATTTATCCAAAGGAAAGAAAATCAGTATATCAAAAAGATACCTGCACCCCCATTTCTGTTGCAACACTATTCACAACAGCCAAAATATAGAATCAACCTAAATGTCTACCAACAGATGAATGAATAAAGAAAATGGGGTATATATACACAATGGAATACTAATCAGCCATAAAAAGAATGAAATCCTGTCATTTGCAATAACATGAATGGAACTGGAGGTTATTATATTAAGTGAATTAAGTCATGCACAGCAAAACAAATTCTGCACGTTCTCACTCATCCGTGGGAGCTAAAAACATGGATCTCATGGAGGTAGCGAGTAGAATGGTGGTTTATCAGAGGCTGGGAGGGGTGAGGGAGGGGAGACGAAAAGAGGTTGGTTAATGGTTACAAACATATAGTTGGATAAAAGGAATAAGTTTTCGTGTTTGACAGCATAGTAGGGTGATTATAGTAAATAATAATTTATTGTATATTTCAAAATAGCTAGATGAGAAGAATTAAAATGTTCCCAACACAAAGAAATGATAAATGTTTGAGGTGATGAGTATCCTAAATACCATGATTTGATCGTTACACATGAATCCCATAAATATATACAATTATTATGTATCAATAAAAAATACAGAGTGACACAAGATTAAATATTCTGGTTCAAAAGGGGAAAGTGGTGTTAAAGAAGAGGTGATTATTTCATGAGAAGGAGGAGACTATGAACAAAGTTGATGAACTAATGGAAACCGATCAAGCAGAAGGACAGCAAGGATATGCCAGGAAACGGAGGGAGCACTCAAAAAGGTATAAAAAGTTGGGAGGGTCAGGAAGAAAAGTGTAAAGTGAAAGAGTTAGAGGCCAGATCAATCACCTTCTGTATGCCAGAAGGAGCCTGGACTTGATTCTGTGAACAATGGCAAACTAACGGAGAACTTAAAGCAAGGGTATAGTGATTTGGTAAGTAATTCAGTATATGGACAATGGATTTCACTTAGATTATACCCTATTTTTACTTTTGTTATCTGTCAATTTACCTAAATTCACGTGAAAGAAAATAGAAACTTGCATTAATGTTAATTATGGAATATCAGCAACACTAACAGCAATTCTGAGAAACAAGGCATGCTATCTGTGATAAAGTAAGAATTGTCACCCACAGGAAGAAGGTTGAGCATTGTCACCACTTTGGGGATATTTGTCCTACACTGAGAGAGCCAATGCCACACTGTAATCATAAAATGTATGGGGACCCATTTCATTTTCATTTAATGGAATAGTAATAGCGTTGGTAATAATACCAGTATTATTCATGGTATCTTGCTTCCCTTTCATGTACATTTTAAAATTTGATGTTCCCCTATTGAGGAAGTTAAGTTACATATGAGCCCCATTTTATAGGTGAGGAAACTGGTGTTCAGAAAAGCAAAACAACCAAACCCAGAGTCACACAGCAAATAAATGGTACAGGCTGGACTTGAGCCTGCTTCATCCAATTCTAACTCCAGAACTGACTCCACCATATCAGGGAGCAGATTCCCAGAACCAGGATCGTTTTCTACAGAGTTCTGTTTATGAAATATATGTATCAATTAGTTGCTGTATGATCTTTGTCTCAAACTGACAACTGATTCTTGGAGATACTCTGGAAAGCAGAGCACTTTTATCCACAAGGTTTCCTGCCTGAATGTATAGTCACCACCACAAAACAGTTTCTTTCCAGCTTTTCCAAGGACTTACAATATTCATTCCTAAAATACTAAAAGTTTTCCAGTG